GAGGCACTAGCCGTGCGCTGGGCATGCAGGAAGCTACGAAAGTATTTGCTCGGTGCACCAAAATTCCGCATCGTTACCGACCACCGTCCACTAACCTATATGTTCCACAAGTTATGCGGGGAGCTACCTCCAAGAGTCGAGAACTTTGTTATGGACGTGCAAGAGTTTGAGTACGAGATCGTCTACCGTCCGGGAAAGACATGCATCGCTGATTACATGTCACGACATGTTGATCGAGCAGGATCAAGTCGAGTGTTTGAGATCGAAGCAGCAGCGGAGAGCGTTGTTGAGAGCGGGTGCTGCCACGCCCTTAATGAACAAGGAACAGTGACGGTGGAGGATATTAGGGCTGAAGGAGAACGATGCGAAGTCTACCAGAGACTTGTTAAAGCAATCAAGTCGGGAATAAGCGACAATGACGAGGACTTAAAACCTTACATAGTCCCGGAAATCAAACACGACTTGAGTGTGGTCAACGGTGTGGTTTGTCGAATTGAGTCACCGCGCACATCAAGGAATTAGCAAGGCAAAGCATTTTCTATGGACATTCTGCTGGTTCCCTGGGATGGACAAGGCCGTCGAAAACCAGGTACGAGGATGCTTACGTACCGTGCCAAGCTGTCCAACCACCAAATAACGACCAGCCAGTCAAACCGTCGGAGCTACCAATTGACCCATGGCAGTATGTGGAAATGGACTTCCAAGGCCCTTACCCCAACGGCGAATATATATTCATCATGATTGACCGTTACAGTCGATGGCCGGAGATGGCATGGTTCCGAAATGCACCTAATGCAAACACCACAATCGCAGCCATGGAGAAGATATTCACCAACAAAGGTGTTCCAGCGGTATGCCAATCGGACAATAGCTCGCCTTTCCAATTAAAAGAGATGGAACAGTTTGCCCAAAGCAGTGGATACCGCCATCACCACATTACTCCGGAATGGCCCAGAGCAAACGGGACAGTTGAGCGATTTAATCGGAGTATGAAAGAAGCTCTGCAGGCAGCAACTCGGGAAGGGATATCCCTGAGAGACGCATCACAAAGATTTCTGCAGATGTACCGATCTACCCCACACAGCGCGACTGGTGTCAGCCCGCATGCTGCATTGCATGGCGGAAGAGAAATGAGAACAGTACTTCCACTTATGACACCAACCGACCATGTTATGGACCGTATACGAGACCAACGATACAAAGCCAAGATGAGAAACAGACTGCGGCCACATAAACTTCGGGTAGGTGACAGTGTTATTGTGAAGCAGACAAAAGTCAGCAAGCTGACGCCGACATTCAACCCTACACCTCTGAGAATCACCGAGGTCCAAGGCTCGAGAATAACTGCACGGGAGATAAACGGCACGTGGATCATCACGAGGGACGCGTCGTACTTTCGAAAGATTGCATCCGACACGCGTGCGGATAACGAAGATGACCAGGAGACGCCGGATGAAAGCACTGAGAAAGGGCAAAGACCACGACGGACAACACGGAGGCCCAGTTATTTAGAAGACTACGACACTTAAGGGGGGTTGGACTATTATTGTAGTTGGGGAGAGATGTTATATGTTGTGTTATACATTTGTTTATATTACGATCGGACTGTTATCGGGACAAATCACCTTTTGGAGTATGGGATTTAAGGTAAAAGAAAACAATATTGTTTTGGATACGGACTCGATATAGAGTAAAAGATAGCTTTGTAAACGGGTTATTTCAAGTAAATAAAGTATTCAAGAGTTCAGTACAACAGCAAGGAACTTAAACAATAATTTGTAATAACTGATTTTTAAACGTTTTTGTTAGTTAGTTTGTTATCGTGTGACTGGATAACACAAGATAATTTTATTTGTATACAGAAGGGCTTCCGGCCATTAGATTAATTTATATTATGCATATACGTATTGTGCATGCAGCCAAGTTGTTGCTTGGTTGTGATTCAATTGAATCAAGGCTTGTTACCAAGATGTTGGATGGTACTAACTTGCAAAAATTACGTCGAATCATCAATCCTGGAGTAAGATATTATCATCAAATTTGGAACAACCAGTACAAATAAATTTACCGAAGAATGTTGTTGTCGTTGTTGTTGTTGCTGTTGTATAGGCCAGTATTATAGGGACCTAGAAGGACCTAGCTAAATGCTACTGATTCCAAGGCTTACTGAGGCGCCGCCTATGACTGTTTTTCAATATCCTCGATTTTTTAATAGTAGGATTAAAGGCCGTTTTCCACTTCAACCATATCGTAACGTACCGTAGCATTTTCTTTTGTGTGGAAGTCATTAGTTGAACTCTAGTGCTCAGGAAACAAACAAATCCGCTACGCTTCGGTACGATACGATTGAAGTGGAAAACGGGCTTAACTCTGACTTATCGGTGCGCAAGGAACAACGGGCTAAGCACATCTGCTGTGCTATGCTATGCTATGCTATGTAATGGTGAAGTTTGTAATATGTTATTTTATTCAGTAAATGATAGTAGAGACAATATGCTGTACTTACTCACGACACATCTTCCAACATCGCGGACGTCAATCCCCGGTAGGGGGCAGTTCGCCATGGGTATCGCGACCAATCTCGCACCATCAGATCCTGCCATAGGCTTGCTTGCGGTGAGAAAATTATTGAAGTAGAAAGACATGCGGATTATCGTCCAGTCCATTGTGGATGGTAAACTTCGTTGCATGTATTCTTCGATTCTCCCCTTTGCATCAAAATGAGCTGCAAGAATGGAAATTTTTATTCCTATTTTAAGTTCGAAACATTTCTCACATGTGTATTTTAGAATTTTGTATTCAAATTAATGTTATGTTGTTAATTTGAAAATTGGAACCAATCATTAAGATCTAAACCGAAACTGATCTAGTTAGACTTTGAGACATCTTCATTACATGCTCCTATTGTGAATCAGTTTACATTCCCAGCACTAATAGAACTTTATCCAGTCTTTGGACCGAGTTAATTCAATCCTTGTCCAATTAGGTAAAGTTTTTACTAAGCCTTTATACCTATCTAATGGTTTATCATAAAGATCTCAAAAACGGCCCAAGGCAGAAGGCCGACGGACGTTTTTGAGACCGAGACAAAATATGTTTCTATCCGGACCGACCTAAACAGTAAATAACGTATTTATTTTTTTGTCGAAGACTCAGAGGCAAATGGCAACGGTTTTATTAGATTGCGCCTATAGAAAACAAAACAATAAAAAAATTTGATATTTAATTATTTTACTTTAGTAAACAAACAATCAATTAAAATTGCTTCGGCCATTACGTATAGGATTCCGGACCGTGGTCAAATATCGTAAAATTCCGCCCGCTGCTGCAGCCAATCAGATTGCAGAAAACGCTAGGATTCCGCCCGCTGCTGATTTACAAAAAAATAACAAAACGTTATTCAATTCTAGAACTCAGTGATGAAAACACTGTCGGACAGTTATAAAATATCCCGAGCGCCACAATCTACGACACCTAAAGGAATTTGGGGACATTCCTATGCAAATTTCTTACATTTTGGCCCCCTTTAACTGGGGCCTGTGGCAATTTCCCCATTTTGACTACACCCCCTCCCCTGAGCGGCTCTGTACAGAAATTGATCGACTATTTAGTCCTAGGACATGATGAAGACTTTATTCATCCCGAATTAGTAATCAGTTTGAGATGCAGTAATAAAAAAATTGGTTGAACTTTATCCACTCTTGTAGGACTTGATCAAACTTATTTATCCAGTCGTAGAGCTGGTGAGGATTGAGGAATGATGCAAAAGTTTGTCCAGTCTTGTAAAATTTTATCCAGTTCTACGCAGGACTAATTGCAGCTGAGAGCTAAGCTGAATTACGAAGTACGGAGCTCATCCTAAATGCGCCTGACAACTCATGATGATCACACACCACATGCAGATATGGTAGAAGAGTTAGTTTGGCCGACTATTTCAACTCATCTTGTCAACATTCTCTGTGGGGGGAAACCGGAATATCCGAAAAATACCCACGACTTTCGGTAGGGCGTTGACAGGCTCTTTCACTTAAGCGTCTCGAGTCTGCAGAATGAGTCGACATGACAGACGCTGATTGCTCCAACGAATTCATATTAAAAGTTCAGTCTATACTCTACTCTGGTCCTAAAAATGTATTAGCGAAAAATAACAACCAGTTTCGAATGGTTAAATATATACAACAATGACCAGGAAAGGACATGGATTTATCTGCTGGCCGCTGGCCTGGATCCTAAAATCCTTGAGCTGAGCAATCTTGATTCTTGAACAATGTATTATTGTCAGTAATATCGCTGTTTTATGACAACAAAAACGGCAAAATTAAACGCCATTGTCTAGCTAGTTCTTTTGAATTATATTGTACTTATATTGTTGTCTGAAATTCCCGAAAAGAAATATTGCATCGTAAAAAATCCTATGTCTATGGGACTATGACGAAAAATTATGTTGTAAGACTTTAATTAGTTTGTTGCATTTGGTGTCAGTAGACATGCAAGACAAGCCAACTTAGTTTTAAATAAAGAACGTAAAAATACCTGAGAAGGGAGGCGTTAATTGCTTTTGACTACAGTATAACTTGAGTGGGCTATCATCAGAAGCGACTCAGTGTTGCCAGGAAGGTAATTACTCGACTTATAATTACTCAGGAATTTGAGTCGGAAAATCCTTTTGTTTTGTATAGTATTTTAACATTGTCATTGAACATGAATTGCAATATTAAAAATCACATTGTCATTGAATACCTTTTGAGTTTTGTCTTGATCATGAGCGACTCTATACGGCTATACTATACTGTTGACTATCGTATACACGCAAATTCATCTTTAATTATTCGATGACGATAGGACTAGAGATAATCAATTCAAAATTATTCGCCATCAGCCATCACAGCACGATATAGATGCTATAATATTCTATTTTCCTATTTAGTCTAAAATACACACACCAAAATCTATTCTATACACAAGCGTCCTTTTTCCACGAGGTTTCTTTCTCTACCCCCCCTTTTGTCCCCTATATCCTCTAAATCCATATCGGTCCCTTAATATCAACTATGGTCATAATATAATACAAAATAACTCAAACGGAAACACTATATCCCTCCCCCCTTTTAAATGTTAGTATCAAACAATATTTAAGCGTTCATTGTTGATCCTGAAATGTTTTAATCCAAGACAAAGTCTTTCAACCGTGCTGGTAGCTTGTGTCCACGTACAGGCCGTCTCTCCGTTGGCTTGGTTTGATGTTATGTTGTTCACCTGTTCGAGAAGTACAACGTTTTTGATCTGATCTTTTCTCGTTCGGTGTCGGCAATTTCCTGACAAACGAAACATTTCGCATGATGCACGGTTCGTCTCCACGTTTTAAGAATACGCTTGGTCCTTTCTTCTTGATTATAGTATATGGTTGTGGATCATACGAGGAGGACAGTTTG